TTAAGACTGGTGACTGGCAGGAGAGACACCATAATCAAGCAAGTCCACTTCTTCAAAGGTGACCAACTGTTGGATCTGGTAAGCTCTTCCTTCTAGCTATGTGTTTTGTTTTGTTTTGCTTTTTTTCTCTTTGGGGGGCCATCACCCAGCTCCAAATTAAATACACCGAGACTTATTCTCACTTATAAATGCCCAGCCTTGGCTTGACTTGTTTCTAGCCAGCTTTTCTAACTTTAATTATCCCACTTCCCTTTAACTACACTTTGTCTCTGGTCTTTTTACCTTTCTTTATTCTATTATCTTTCTTTCCTTCTTACTCAATGGCTGGCTGTGTGGTTGTGTGGCTGGGCTCTGCCACCCTCCTCTCCTTCTCCTTTTCTCTCTCCTCTCTTTTCTCTCCAGCCTAGATTTCTACTTCTCTTTATTCCTCTCTGCATGCCTATTTCTCTCTCCTACCTAGCTAATAAATTCAGCTCTTTATTAGACCAATCAGGTGTTTTAGACAGGCAAAGTAACACAGCTTGGCAGAGTTAAACAAATGTAACATAAAAGAATGCAACACATCCTGCATCATTAAACAAATATTCCACAGCAGGAACGAATGTAACACATCTTAAACTAATATTCCATAACATTTCCCTTTTCTGGCTTTTGAGTTCTATTTGGTGTTTTCCCCAGTTCACCTTTCCTTGTGGGAATCATGTTATAGTTAACAAAAGCCAACCCTGGGTAGCAGGAGATGTTCCTATTCGTAGTGATTCAATGATATGTTATTAGTAGTTGCTGGAATCTCTCCACTAGAATTCTGGGAAGTGTCTTTGGTGCTTGAAACCCTTGAGTATCCGGACTCCTAGGCCCAGCCCTCTCTCAAGTCCCTAAGAAGAAAAGACAAAGCTTGACCATGACTATGCCTATTTTTCGGTTCCAATGTTATCCCCCTAAGAAAACAATGTGCTTATCCTCTAGGGCTGCTTTTGGAGAACACAGGACCCATATTTTTCTGCCTCTAGCCCCAGGCAGAGCTGTATCGCTATCCCCAGGCTTAGTTAAACACAGGGCTGTTCTTTCTCCAGGAAAAGTAGAGGCTAAGACTTCTCAGAATGTCCCAGGTGCTGCCAGTTGGCCAGCTCCCAGCAGCTGCTCAGCTTGCTTCAGCAATTAGATCAGTTGTGGAGATGGAGTAGAGGGATGCTGTAGAGGCTGAGACAGCAAGGGGAGGGATGAAAGGACAGCGAAGGCTCATGATAAGCTCATTAAAATCTCAGGAGGGGAGAGGGCTGCCCTGGGGGAAGCATCAGTGCCCATATACCATAAGCGAGATGCTCAGAAAGTTAATTCTGCAAGGGAAAGTCTTTGTCTATGTTGTTGTGGGAAGGCTTCATAATCTTGAACTCAAGGTAATTTATATCAAAGGTTTAATACTCTATACATATATTAATTTGTAAACTCACAAAACACTATGCAATTATTTACATAAACACCTATAGAGTATATTAAACGAACTATGAAATACATGTATCTAAACATGGCATAATATTATCCTATGTGTATATATAATAACCCATTGTCTATATTACCTTTTGGGGAGTTGGCATTCTTCCAGGTCTATACTGAATGCACAGAATTCATGACTGATCAGTGAGTAAAGAAATACTGAGAGTGTTGTGGTGAACATTGTGTGAAGATTGTTCTTTCACTCTCATAACTACTGAAAAATCAAAACAGTTAATACATTGTGGCATCCTTAGCACTAACTAGGGTGCAAATAATTATTTATTTATATTTAATCAATGAATCAACTAATTAATTTAGTATGTGTGTTTATATAAGCTATTCATGCATGTATATGTGTCTGTGTGTGCCAGAAGTCAACCTCGGATGTTTTCTCCTGAGGAACCATTCACCTTGCTGTCTGAGACCCCTGAGAGCTGGGCTTTATTGAGTAGACTAGACTGGCTGGTCAGTAAGCCCCAGGGATTGGCTCCTCTCCACCTCGCCGCCCTTGGGATTATTAGCCCATGACCCTATGAACGGCTTTTTACATTGAGAGCTGGAGATTGAACTCAGGTCATCACTCTTATGCACACTTAACCACCTGAGCTATCTCATTAGTTCCCTCATTAACTATTTTCACAGCACATCAGAAATTGTGCTGTAATTTCTTTGGGTGTGGAATTAGCAGAAGGGCATTTATTTCAGAGCTATAGGGGGTACACTTTGGTACAAAAAAAAGGACAAATGCTTTGGTTGGAAATTTAGACACAAAATAATAATCAAGATTAACACATACTTTATTCTGTGTTCAATATTGTGATAAAGGCTTTAGGTACATTAATTTGGTAAAGCTTCCAAGCAACCCTAGGGCTTAAGTACTCAACATGGATGTCCCCAAGTGAAAAGAAATAACTAGCCAAAACAATAGCTTGAGTATCATGGCATTTCCTTAAGGAGCCTTCAACATACTTATATTTACTGCTATTTTGAGCAACCAGAGAGTTAAGTATTGAGCAATATTTAAAAGCTTAACTTATTGAAAGAAATTCTTAGAAATTCAGTGGATAATGAAGGACTCTGAAACAGGACATTGTTAAAATACCTAGAAATTTCTTGTGCAATAAATAATAGCAGCAATGAATGACTTTGGATTTATATGCTAACGCAGTCATCTAAATGTTTTAAATAAAAATACATAAATACCAATGTTTTGTCTTAATCTTAATTTTAAAAATACATTTATCTTTTCTTTTAGTCAATGTAAGATATATTTCTTGGGATGCTATAGTCATGAAATAACTCACTGAAAATATTCATAATGAAAACTTGATGAAAAATTGTGATTTTCATGCTTATTTCCCAGTTTGTTTTGTTTAGTTTTTTTTATTATTATTCTAGGACAGGATCTCTCTATATTGCCCTTACTATTCTGGAACTCACTATGTAGACCTGGCTGGCCTCAAACTCATATATATCAGCCTCTGAAAGGTGTGGGCCACTATACCCAGCCTTCATTCGATATTTTGGCTTCATTATTCCATGTGTATATTTTGCATAGAACTCCAGTGAATTTTAGGAAAGCATGTTGTAAGCAGAGAAGCAATCTGATGCTTGCTAGCTCTAGCATTGCATGAGGCCAGTTGTTGTGTTGTGTTTTCTGTAACAACCCTATTGTCTTAAATCCATGGATGGAAAGTGTTGCTATCAGGAGCTAAGGGGCTTGGCTCCATGTGGTGCTGGTTTGGAAGTGGTTTTGGGTTGATAAGAAAGCTCATTTTCTTTGTGCTGTATATATTTTCATTTTTTACATGATCTGCTTAATGATTCTAATTTCTTTAGCATACAAAAATCTTAAGTCCTGTATGCTGCTAACCTTACCTAATCATTAGAAAAAATAGATTTTTTTGAAGTCATAATACCAATTAGCTATAAAGTGAAGGACTAAAACCACATCCTCTGCTTGGGATATTACCCTTGGCAATTACAGTGCCTGTCTAACATCCACAAAGACTTGAGTTCAGTTCCCAGCACCGCATACAGTAGGTGTTACAGTGCATGCCAGTAATCTCAGCACTTGTGAGGAGAGGGCAGGAGGGTCAGAATTCAAGGTCATCTTCAGCTGCATAACAAGTTTGAGGCCAGCCTGGTATACAGGAGATCCTACCTGAGAGAGAGAGAGAGAGAGAGAGAGAGAGAGAGAGAGAGAGAGAGAGAGAGAGAGAGAGAGAAATATCCCCTTACTCCTTGTATTCTTTCTGTTTTGTGGCAATATCATTTTTCCTTTAAAACAATATTGAAAAATGTATATTGACCAATGCTTTGCCACCAAGTGAAATATTTTCCAAGTTCAGTATTTCTTTTTCAAAATAATAAAAGAGGGCTTTGTGAGTTTTCTACTATTTGGGCAGCAGTCATCTTGTCTTACTGGTCACACACCGTTTCACTGTCTGATGGAATTCACTTTCCAGATTATAAAATGGCTGTGTTTTTTTCTGCTACTCACTGTATGCAAAGCATTTGGATTTTACATTTCAAGAAACTCAACATCCCCTTCAAAGATAGGGGCAGGGCATGGTGGAAATAGTTTTATATTTAATTCTGAAGTTTTGTATATTTTAAGAATGTATATGTTTCTGTGTGTGGAGGATTCACATACCACAGCACACAAGTCAAGGATTCTAGGGACAGAACTCAAAGTTCCAGACTTGGTTAGCAAGAACCTTTACCTACTGAACCTTCTTGCTGTTCTTGATATATTTTATAAACATCAACAATAAGGATTTGGTAGCTAGTTGGATGAAAAATGTTATTGATACAGTGACAAAATACAAGAATTTGTTAAGAGAAGAGCTTGGATTATAGTAAAGGTAGAAAATGAAGAGCCACCTCATAAACACCAAAGAAGTGATCCCAATCTCATAGATTCTGTTTTTGTTGTTGTTTTTGTGGGTTTTTTCTTCCTTTCAGAGGAGGCAATGGAAAAAATGGAGTTTGTGATACTTAGAGCAACTAAGTAGTTATTGTCTAGAGACTGACATATAGAAAATGGTTTCTCTGGATGGCTTCTGTAAGTCATTTTGTTAGTTCTGGTTTATTTCTGCCCCTAGCAAATGTTTTGACCCAAAGGGGCAAAATTGCCCAGGGTGGGATAAGCACTTACCATAGTGAAATCACCCAGATGGGAACAGTAACTAAAGCTTTTCCAACTAATAGTACTTAAACATTCAATTTCACATACAAAGATTGGTTCATAATCTAAATCTACTAAAACATAAAACACTTTCATTGAAGACTTTTGCAATGTAGTCTGTTCATGTTTTCTACTAGTATTATTGGCAATCAATGAACTCTTTTGAGGTTCTTCTCATTTGTGAATTGAAACAATAACAATATTAGTATTATAAATGTTTAATAATATACTTCACATAAATATACATACTCCAAAATCATTCAGCATTATTTTTAATTCATATTAATTCTCAGAAGTTGAAATACATATGGACAACTTTTTAAAACATGATGATTACATACACAATACTTACAACAAATACGTTTCATTGAACCTAACTACAACTTAACATATTATCAATATTCATCAAATATTAGTGCATGTGTATAATCATTATAAGGTAAATCGATTTTGAGTCATTCACTACACTCAAAAATGAACACAGAATCTATGTTCAAAACAAAAAAAGTCAAGTTTTAGAAACTTGCTCAAAGAAGTAAAAAAAGTATGTAAATATAAGAATGTTATATTGTTATAAAAAGTACAATTTGTCAATATAAAATACACAAAGTAAATAACATATACTCATGTTATTAGTATAGTCATATATATGAAATTTGAAATCTGATTAAGAGTCATCTCTAATTAGGAGGAAACACACAGTAATATCACACCTCAATAAAACTCAGCCAAGATAGCAAGTGGAGAAAATCACCTTTAACAGAACTGAAACGACAACTTTGTTGTAGTCATGAAGTTCAGAAATGATAAGTTTTTGGAGTTGGAGGGGTTGTGCCTTTTTTGGGTGAGAAAATGACAACCAAACACATCATCTTTCTCCTTCATTTATACTGATAAATCCCAAAGGCTATGCACAATCCCTTACTTATGTGACTTCATTTGAAAAACATTGAAAATACATTCTTCTCTAAACTTAAAGGTAAAAATAAATTAATTTTTCTGAAATTGTTGATTTTTCTAACACCACTGGTTTAATCTCTTTTCCTAGCACAGCCTTGGAAAAGCAGTTTGAATAAAAATATTTTGACAAAATATCTGATTTAAATTTTTAAAGATACTAACTTAATAACCAGCCAACCCAAAAGAAAAGATAGCCTCTGGAGCAAAAGGATGAAGGTGATGGGATTTCTAACTCCTACAGGCTGCAAAGCAGGATATCAGAAAGCTATTTAGTTTCCTTTACACTAATGATTAAAGCCTTCATTTTAACCTTCACTATAAATAGAGTACACTAATCCTTAAGCTGTTTTTAGGCAATTAATATTAGCCTTCTTCTCTTTTATCCCCAGTTCCCCTTGAAAAGCAATAGCTGAATTGTATTTATTCAGCGTGATGGATTGGTATTTCACTTTAAATAGAACCACATAAGCCTGTCTCTATTTGTATGAGATATAACCACCACCCTCATCTACTTGTATAATGCCATGACACAGAGAAATCACAGCTTAAACCAACAGCCTTTAGATGTGTCATTTTAGAGTAACTGATAAAGGAAAAGCTGTGTGAACCATTTTAGAAAACAAATGACTATGCCTTCTAGAACAATTGAAGCAGCGTGCACAATACCTCATTCTCCTAAAATCATTTATAGAATCACAGACTGTGTATATTTCCTGTAATGAGAGTTGGGCAGTTAGGAAAGGTAAATGGATACACCCTGGGTTCCATTTCTTGAAAACAGTGGCTGGTTCAGTGATTAGCTTGGCTTTATAGGTGCTGTTAACACACACACACACAAACAACTACACATACTGACTTTTGGAGTATATGCTCGGGGATCTCTTTTCCGCGTGGAAACTCCTTTGAGTGGTGCGATGGGATGGAACAGAGTATCTGTAGCTGCTGCTTCTCTCAGTGCAACAAAACACGCAGCAGAAAAGCGCTCCTCCGGCAATCAGCACCAGTGCTGTGGTCCAGCCGATGTAGAGGGCTTCCCCGAGCTCACGCTTTAGGGCCACGTCTACCAGCGGGTTGTAGAAGTCTCTGATGATGGAATTGGCAACCCAGCTGACAGGGATGAGCACCACCAAGCCAGTGATGATGAAGAGGATTCCGGCTGTTAGCAGGATGCGGCTCTTCACGTTCTCGTCGTCGCCCGTGCACCTGGTACACTTCATTCCGAGGATGGCTGTCATAAAAGCCAGGAAGGACAGGACGGACGCAGCGCACATCAGTCCTCTGGATGCCTGGAGGTCAGGAGTAAGAGCCAGCAGAGAGTCGTAGACCTTGCACTGCATCCTGATATTGGCGTGCCTCATGCAGTTCATCCACAGGCCTTCCCAGAGGTTCTCAAAAACCACGATGTTACTTTCGATGAAGGCAGACACTCGCCACTGGGGCATGATGGTCACTGCCACTGTGCCCACCATGCCAACACCACCAAGCACCAGTCCAGCCATTTGGAGAACAGAGGTTGCCATGGTCCTGCGGGGGTTTTAACCAGCTGGAGCTGGAATGCTGAACAGGGAGGTAGGGAGGGCTTCTCTCAAGCAGAAATCTGTGTGCCTTGGGAGAGAACCGTCCCGAGGTAGAAACAAGCTCAGAGCGCAGTGATTTTTCAATAACAACGGCTTTACCCTTTTCTAGCTAGATCAAATCCAGTGCTGACTGGTGAGACACTCCCCTGTCGGCCCCCCTCTTCCCCCCCCCCCGCCCCCAATGGCTCCAACAGTAAACTTGCAAATCAGGTGGGGCAACTTTCTTAGCCAATGAGAGGGGGATGGGAGCTCAGGTGTGTCTAAATCAACTCTGGATACTTGGGAAGGCCGGACTTGCAAATAAACATTCTTTGTACTTCTCGTTTTTTTCCAAGAAGACAGCAGTAGGTTTACCTCGAGGCATAATTATGAATGTTTGCACAATCAGCAAGGACAGAGCCAGTCTCTCCCAGCAAAAGGGGCATTGCTCTGCCCGCAGGTAATCCTGACCCTAAGCTACTACTACTGTGACTGAGGCTCCAACAAAAAGCTCTTCCTACGGATTCTGCAGGAGTGGCTTGGAGGCCGAATTAAAGGAGAATGAAGGATTGACAGATTGTTTATACCTGAGAAACCACAGTCTTTGGGATACATGTGGTCAAAAAGGGTTGATTTAATTTGTCTAGAACTTCAAAGCAAGCTCTCCCAGAGCGAGTTCAGCCAGGAGAACATGCCAAAAGCCAAAAGCCGGGCTGGAGTAATTGAACAAAGCAGGTTGCCTTCCTTGTTGGCACTAACTGTATATGGTTTTCCTTTAAGCCAGGGAAACTACTTGTTGGCATTTGTTTTCCTGATGATATTGATTTATAATAAAGAGTGCAATCACACAAAAAGAGAAGCCAGATGGCTTTGTCAGGAGGAACCACTGAAGTGCTTCAATGAGATTGTCTGCACCTACTAAAGCTGAGACCTTATTTTCTAGCCAGCTACTTCCGGCTCTGTCTTCTAGTCGGAAGAAAATGGATTTCTGGACATTGTACAAGAAAGTACCAGGTCTCTGCAAATTGCTGGTATTTAAAGTAACATCTTCATTGAAACATTTTATTAGACATTAACCAAAATTATCTTTCCTATGGATGAGAACAAGTGTTATGCAAATATGCTTAGCCCCTAAATGCATGGCAATTTGAACTGTCTTTGCAAAATGACAACCAAAATGTTAGTGGAATTAGCATCCACAGCTCCATTAGAAATTTCCCTTTGGAGGCCATCTTTTCTCTCTGCTATGCCTTTCCAAACTTCAGGCTATTTTCCCCCTTCTGGTAGCCCAGATTATCCTTGAACTTGCAAAATGTAGCAGAGAGGATGACCTTGCATTCCTAATCCTCCTGCTTCTATTTGTCAAACACTAGGACTGCAGGTATGCACTATCTTACCTGGTTTGTGCAGTGCTGGAGATCAAACCTAGGGCTTGGTTACCCCAGGAAAACATTCTATTAACCAAGCTACATGCCCAACCCCTCAAATTGTATTTTTACGTTCCTGTCACAATAACAGATATCAACATAAAATAACATCTCCCCTATCCCCCTTTCTTTCTTTCTTGTTGTTTTTGAGATAGTCTTGTGCAGTATTTACTGTCCTGGAACTTGCTATGTAGCCAAGAATGGCATTGAACTCTTGTCCTCCCTGTGTCTACCTCTAGAATAGTAGGATTACAGGCATATGACATCGTACATGCTACAATAATAATTATCCCCTTAAAATTTTGCCTCCATCTGATTCTTTGCACATTGAATCCAAAGATTGAAGACACTGTTTCAGGCTTACTCATCACACTTTGAAATTCTAATGGTCTAAAAACTGGGAAGTTTATGGAGACTTTTGAAGCAAAATGTATGTATGACAGGGAAGGAAAAATGGGGACACTAAAGTAAACCATCCTCTAAAAACTGAGTCCAAGCCATTATATTATATTGATTATTTTGAACTGTGTAATAACCTAAAATGTTATATTTTTATTGATTTCTTAATTTGTTTAACTGTTAAGAGCTCACCATTCCTTCGTTATCCTGATGTAGAAATAAATATCACTCTTTTCTTCATCAGATTTTATCAGTTTTAACAGATTTTTGAGCAGACAGGGGAGTAGAAATATATTATCATTAGAAGTAATTTTCAGGCTTCAAATGATGACTCGAAATTGAATCTGGAGAGCGTTTTAATCTTTAATTGTCAATCTGAGAAAATTGAATGACAGACATAATTTTAAACCGAAGAAGGAATGAATGCATTGGTTGGATAATGACCAGCTTGTACTTAAGGGATCTAAGGGCATATGTTACCCATCAAAATTGAATTTCCAAATATCCATGTGATATATTTTCTGGGAGCTCTGGATAAATATTGCTGAACATTTGCATCAGAGTGGGCCAATGAGACAGAGAGCTACCCATGAAACTCAGTTTCCCAAGTATCTATACAGACAGCTGACTATGAGTAACTAGAACCCTTCCCTTAAGGACTGGGCTGTGTCAGGATGTAAATATTCTCCTCGTTTAAAAAGGATTAAGTACTTTTCAGTTGAAATTGTCTTAGCTCAAAGATTAAGACCTGTATGAGAGATTAACCCCAGGCTGACTTTAGAATAATTACACAGCTAACTGCTCTTGTAGCACCTAGCCCAGGGCACCCAGATTAAGTCAGGCAGTGATCTAATTCACTGGATGGCATTTTGCAATAACTGTGTGCTAAAGATCAGAGAAATGAGAAAGGCAGGGGGGAAAAACAAGAATTTCATGTTTTCTAAGGACAGAAGCCTGAGTTCAGAGACTAAAAGTCTTTTATGGCTTATCTACTTTCCTGTGATGATTAACTTGGCTGAAAATTTCAAGTAGTAGTAGTGGTTAGAGATTTAGTAGATTAATAATATTTTCATGTTTTTGGTACTATGGACCACCTGAGCAGATTAAAGGTTTTTGCCTGTGTCTTTACAAGATACGAGTGCTCAAACTGACTGTGCTTTAAAAAAAAAAAAAAAAAAGGGGGGGGGGTATTTTTCTTTTAAAGATGAGACCTCTGATGGCAGTCTAGGCTGGCCTGGAACGTAACTTTCATTACTCACTAACTGGCCTGAAACTTGTCTATCCTTCTGCCTCAGCCTCCTGAATGCTGAGATGGCTCACAGCCACGGTAATTCTGCAGTCTATGGGCAGGCTGAGCGTCGTCGGCACAAAAAATGGCTAATAGTACGTGGGGTTATTTGTGATGCTTTTCATTTTTGTTGTTGCTTGTTTGTTTGTTTGTACCTCAACTGCAGGGTTCTTAAGCATGAACTTTGTAGAAGACGATAAGGTGTTGCAATGTCAAAAGGTTGGGCACAGGCAGGACAGGCATGAACCCTTACTCCCAGACAAAGGGACTTGCTTCCAGAGACAAGGATCAGGCGCGCTTCATTTAAGTTCTGTAATTATACTCAACTCTGACAAGTACCTCATGCACACGAATGCTTTCCCTTCATAAACAATAGCACATGGCTCTCAGCTATCTCTCTCGCCTGTGTGGTCTTTATTTCTGCACCCCAACCCTTCAGTCTCAGCTCACCAATAATTTTATAACTGTTTAAAAATGATTATTGATTCTGCTTTCTTTCACAAAGTTGCCAATCCGTATTGTTTCCTAAATTCCTTTGTGTGGACGGTTTGCAGCCCACGTTTATTGTTAATTGTTGTTCACTGTTAATTAGCTGTACTTGGCTCACGGTCCCGCCCTGAGAAAGCAAGTGAACATATCAATAGGTCTCTTTGGTTTTTGTTCTCCATATTGAACTGTGTTTTGCTTCATGGTCTCTTGAACCAATCCATCCCTTGTCCTTCCTGATGGATGCTCCTGGGTTTTATTCCCCAACTGCTGTCTTCCATCTTTGCTACCTTTTGATGACCTGTTTTAGTTGCTCTGCTTAAAATTGAACTCTTTCCAATATAGTAATTATCTAGTACCTTAGCCATTTCCAATACTTTGAAAAAAAATGACACAAATAGACCTGGTGAGTCCAATGGGAAAGTGGTGTTCATCACTCTTCTGGGGACTTGGAAAGCCAAAGGGGTTAAGGTTTGGTGAGGAAGTTGTGGCAACAGGAACATGACTCATCTCGTTGATTTTTTTTATCCACAGCAGAGAGATAAATAACTTGTGTTCAGCTCCTTTTCTGCATGTTATTCAGTCTTTCAAAGAGCTTCCCATAGATGGAGTTTTGCCCTCCAAGCACCTTCCTCTTGCCCCAGTGAGGAGCACCAGGTTTCTCTTTAATAGTACTAAGGCCCTTCAACAGTTACATTCTTTGTGGTCTATACTCGCCTTGCCTGAAACCTTAAACTTTCACATCTTTCCTTCCCAAGCCACAGCTTTTTACTTCCTGCTCTCAGGTTCTCAACTCTTACAGCAGAGCCAGATGAGAGCAGTGGGCATTGACCATGAAACCACCTGAATACTATCTTGCCCTTAACTTTCCTCTACCTAACAAATCACTTTATTATCTGTAGTCTCAACATCATTCACATCCTCAACACATGGGCAGAATGTAGCCAAGTTCCTTGCTAGAATATCACATGAGTAGCCCAGAATCAGTCTGACAGAGCGATTGCTCCCCTCTGAAACGCCATGAGCGAGACTTCTACCTGAGCATTATTGTCTTTGAAGCTCTCCTAAGGATACTCTTTAAGCACTGCCTGCAGTAGAGCAACTGTTCTAGCTCAAAGTTCTACTTCTTCCACATTCCTCCCACAAACTACCTCCAAAGACTTTAGAATCTTACGGCCAGTTTTTATACAGCAACAGTCCCCCTTCTTGGTAGTAATTTTTTGTAATTGTTTATTTTCACACTTATGTAATAGAATACATGACAAGATCAACTTGAGGAAAAAGGGATTTACTTTAATTTACAGTTCCAGGAGGTACATTCTACCAGGATAGTCAAGGTAGAGCAGTGGGAGCAGGATGCAGTGGTCATATACAACCATAATCAGGAAACAGAGTGGGATGGACATTTGCCTTTAGCTTGCTTTGTCCTGACAGTTTAAGTCCTGGGGGCCAGCTCATGAAATGGTGCTGTCCAATTTCAGATGGATCTTTCCACCATAGTCAACCCAGTACTTGA